ATTGCAACAATTGGTATTATGGCCTCTGTCACATGGCAAGTACTCATTGTAGGCATCATTACCACCATTGCCTCCAAATATGTCCAGGTCAGATATCATCTCTTAACAAAGTTGCCACAATTTGAGGCCTAAGGCCCAACTCCAAGTAATTTTAGGTTGGGCTGAGTAAAAAAATACAAACATATAATACCTTGGAGTACTCATCCTACCATGTTGTGACATATCAGTATACAACACCAAACAGGTGTGTGGAAAAGTGGGAATAGAATGTATGCGTGAAAAGAGAAGAGAAAAACAAACTTTTGAGACAACTCATTTATTTGGTAGGACTGTGGGAGAAATGAAGGAAAAAGAGTGGAAATAACATCCATGCTTAAGCGGGAAGAAGTAAATAGTAAAGTCTATGTTGTTAAAACCGGACCGGAAAGCAACCTCAACAAGTGACCGAGTCAGGATCAATCCAAACCCGGAGGGTCAGCCCAGTCAACACATGATAAGGTCGATCATTATTTGTTATGAAATAAAATACAAAATATCTATAATTATAAATCAGATTAAAGTCGTAAAGTGAAAAAATATTCTTATTTATGATTTAATATGGACAATACATAATAATAATAATAATAATAATAATAATAATAATAATAGAAAAATCTAAAATACACTCCCTCCGCCCCCTATCTTTGACGGTTTGACCCACTTTACCTTTTCCATCCATCTCACTAAGTTTGTCTCATACCATATTTGGTAATATTTGGGTGATTACAATTCATTCTTACTTTATTCACACTTTATCAATTCAATATCAACCACACAATCTCACTTTTCTTAATAACCACATCACTCCCTCTTATCTCAATCTTAGTGGGACGGAGGTAGTACAATTTTTTATCAAAATTAAACAGGTATTTGAAAATTAGATAGACAATAGACATAGATATATATTTAGTACAAAATCTTTAAAAAAAATTGTACAAGTATTTTTCATTATATTTGGAATTTTGAACACATAAATTTACAGTATAACAATAGTAAGTAGTAACAGTAGGAGTTATTATTATGATTATTATTAATGAATAATTAACAATAAAAGTTTAAACCTAAAGATGTTATAAAATCAAGGTATAATAATGTGAAAAGAACTTAGTACAAGCATGCCTAAATGGTAGAGTTTGTTTGCACTGGCGCTTGTTCAGGCTAGGCGAGGGTCCAAATCCCCCCTTTGACAGTTTTTTAAATACCAATTGGGCGGATTAGCGGGTCCGCACCAGTTCCTGTGCCAGATTTTGGGGAGCGTTGACAGCGGGTATACAGGTTAAGGTGATTTTTGAGAGATTAGCGGGTTAGTTGTAACCGGCCTGGTATTTTCAAGCGGGTTGCCGGGTTCCGGGTTGACCCGGAAATCCGGCATGGCTGATTTGGGTCTGATAACAGAGAGTAAAGTGGCTAAAGGGCTATAAGATGTTAGGATAATAAGTGATCTTATTATAGATAGCCTTTTAGTTTGAATATATAGAAAACCACTTTAATTCAAGAGAACTCTGGAAATAGGACTAAAACATGACTCACTATTCTCCAAAACGTGACTCACTATTCTCCAAAACATGACTCATTTACTCCAAAGAAGAATTGTATATAACTCTTATTTTCAAGGGCTAAATGAGTTCTATTTTTAGCACAAAACAATGATATTCCTGTGTGTGAACACGTCACATGTTTTACTCTTATTTGCAAGTAATTTCTTTGAATCTACAATTCTTGCATCTCGGTTTGTCTTCAACCAAACAACTTTTATTTCTTTCTGCTGCTCACCAACTTCTCTTCTTTGTTTTATCACCTAAGCATTTCTCCATTAATCAAACACAGCTCATGTCTTAAAATATAATCTCTCCGAGCTTATGAAAATGGTGTCATTTGTAACAATGTGCTTGTTTGGATGAAGGAATACTATCAACCTTCTGCGAGAGAACTGATGCGGATCAACGGGACAACAAAGGCTCCATTAACGAGTTATGCAACTGAGACATCTCTTGGAGTTGCCACAATAAGGGCTTTTGATATGGGAGACAGGTTTTTTCACAACTACTTGGGACTAGTTGATGCAGATGCAAAAGTTTTTTTCCACTCAAATGGAGCCATGGAGTGGCTAGTTTTGAGAACGGAAACACTACAAAATCTCACACTTTTCATTGCTGCTTTCCTCCTAATCGCACTTCCATCGAGTTTTCTCCCTTCAGGTACTATTGTAACTTTGTAAGGGCCCGTTTCAATTCCGAAACCGAAAAATACTAGAGATGGATTATATGAGAGAAAATAAAATAAAATTGGAAGGAAAGACAATGTGAGGCAAAATCATCAAGATGCTATAAACAAAGAATATGATGGAATAAAGCAAAATGGCTCACTACACTGTCTACGCTTCTTTGTTATGAAGCAGTAGTCGGTCCATACAATTTTCGACGCGATTTTCACTATGGGTCATCCGAAAACAATCTCTTTGTGCTTTAGTGCAGGGGTCAGATTGCGTACCTTACCCCACCGTAGGTGGGAGCCTTTGCGGCACTGGGGTAATGATGATGATGAATTTTATTTAGAGGTTTTTCCTAAAATATTACTAATAAAAATCTATGGACAAAATGTGATTATAAGTTACTATGAGTAAGTTTTATAGTCACTACGATGTAACATGTGATACAATTATAGTCACTAAAGTTATTAGAGTAACATTTTCATTTACTATTATTTTGAATATAAGTTACTTTTATTTATGTCTACTGTACAACTTAAACTATTTTTCCTTATCATTCTTCTTTTTTCTGGCATTTTCATGATCCAGCCTGACCAGCCATACCATAAATCTCATGAATCGTGATCATTCTCATGACTGCATATATATTTTGATTTTAGTCTTCTAAGATTTGCCCTCTTTCCCAATTCAGGTCTTGTGGGGCTCTCTCTTTCGTATGCTTTGGTACTAACAAGCACTCAAGTGTTTTTAAGCAGATGGTATAGCAGCTTGGCTAACTATGTCATTTCAGCTGAAAGGATAAAACAATTTATGCATTTAAACCCAGAACCACCAGCTGTGGTGGAAAATAATAGGCCAAACTCCTCTTGGCCTTCCAAGGGTAGAATAGAATTCCTGGACCTTAAGGTAAACCACCATCTCAACTAAATCAAATGTTTTATGAAGTAATCTAAACACACGAGATTAGCACAATACCTTGTTTGGATGCAGATAAGATACCGTTCAAATGCTCCATTTGTCCTCAAAGGGATAACATGCACCTTCACTGAAGGCAGTAGAGTAGGAGTTGTGGGGAGGACAGGAAGTGGGAAAACAACACTGATTAGTGCATTGTTTCGCCTAGTAGAGCCTTACAGTGGGAAAATAATTGTCGATGGTCTTGACATTTGCTCCATAGGCCTTAAAGATTTGAGGCTAAAACTCAGCATCATACCACAAGAGCCAACTCTTTTCAGAGGAAGTGTCAGAACAAATTTGGACCCTTTAGGCCTTTACCCTGATGACGATATTTGGAAGGTAAAATTGTCAAAACAATCACCACATTGCCTCATATGGATTATTCCATAGAATAAGGGAATTCTTGGTAGTTGAAAGTGATACCCATTGAAAATTGATGACAGCATTGATTTCAAGCTTTGGGTGAAATCCCATCATTCCAAACACAATGTTGTCTGATTCCCGGTAGTTCAATCCCAAGTCCCAACAGTCAAATCAATTCAAACTATATGTAATGCATTATTTTATTTTCAGGCTCTGGAAAAGTGCCAGCTAAAGGATACCATTAGCAGACTTCCAAACCAGCTAGATTCCTCAGGTGATCCAAAAGTATAATGTTCTGTGTTTATAAATAGATTGACATGAACCAAGATTTAGTTGGGAGCATTTCAGGCACTGACACGTGATACGCCTGCAATTTGGTTTGCTTTGGTTTTGGTTTTGGTTTTTACAGTGAGTGATGAGGGAGAGAACTGGAGCATGGGGCAACGGCAACTGTTCTGCCTTGGAAGAGTCCTTCTGAAAAGGAACAGAATATTAGTTCTGGACGAGGCAACAGCTTCCATAGACTCTGCCACTGATTACACTCTGCAGAAAATCATCAGAGAAGAATTCTGCAATTGCACAGTCATCACTGTTGCTCATCGTGTCCCCACCGTCATAGACAGCCACAAGGTCCTCCTCCTCTCTTTTGGTAAGCTTTTCCCCATTCTCTTATACATAAGTTATATACTTACATAGCGATTTCTTTCCATTTGAGTCAGGAACTAAGCCTCAGAATAAAAAAATCACTTAAAAGCATATAAGGCTTGCAACTACAAACAATGAAAGCTCTATCTTTCAAACTTCTTGCAGGGAAGCTAGTTGAATATGATGAGCCTTCAAAGCTAATGGCAATCAATTCTTCCTTCTCTAAACTGGTTACTGAATATTGGTCCAGCTGCAGAACAAATTCATAGCAGGATCTCAACCACTGAATACTCTTTAGGATGGTAGACTGTTGTAATACTATGCCAAAAAGAACCAATAGCCAATAAATCATTTTGATTTACTTTGGAGTACCATAGAAGTACGACTATTTAGCCTGCCTTGTATGAATCATTCTAAGGTTTATTCTAACGCAGACAATTTGTAATAAATTTGGGTGCAATTGGTCAAGACTTGGCTAAATCTATCACCAATAATCTAATTCTCTGATTACTTAAGCAAGAAAGATGACATATAAAAGATCATATTGATGTAGCATTTGTTCCATGTCCATCGAAAGCATTGTTCAATTCCATTTCAAGCTTAAAAAGTTCTGCCATATATGATCTTCAGATTCGCTGTAAGAGCTTCCACCTCTTCATTCCAGTGCATCAGTTGAGTGTCTGCAGTTGGGAGGTCATATTTGTTCCAGACAAAACTGATATCCCTTCACCAAAATCTCCAAGGATCTTTGTATGGAGGAACATAACTTTGTGAAGGAGGGAGAAGACGAAAAGAAGCAACACTCTTTTCTAAGAATGGTCCCATCTGCAGCAATCAATTTCATGTCAAATTCAAAAGATGGAAAACAAATCTATCCATTTTCTATTTCCACAGTTTATACTTTATAGAACTAGACCGCGGCACTTAAATGGATGGACTGAATGCTTTTAAATATGATTTGCGTATGCATTTCATTCTAGCATTCTACTGGTAAATAGACGAGTGTGCATTTCTCAGAATGGATCTGTAAATACGTAACCCAAAGTTTGATGTAGAAAGCAGGATGTTACGAGCTTGGTTGGGATCTCGTTTCAGATCTAGGAAATAGAGAATATTAGAGAGGAATAACAAAATAAGCCTAAGCTAGAATTGATCAGCGTCCGACCTTGTGACTTGTAAAGACATACAAGAATTAATTCTTCAAAGATTGTTTATTGAATAATACTCAATTACTCATGACCCTTGTAAAAGGAAATAAATGCTAATTAAGAAGTTGTCTAAAGCTGAATTGGAATAATTATAAAAGGAGATATATGTTAATTAAGAAGCTGTCTAAAGCAGACATAGGAATGACGATGATGGTGATAGTGATGATGATAGTAATAGTAATAATAATAAGAATATAAGATTTCCTTGCTCATATCACAGGATTATGCATTGAAGCTACTTGTCTTGAAGAACAAAATGTACTTACTTCGCTCCATTGCTTACTAAGTGTTGAAGCACTGAGAGTATACAGGTAACCTGAAATGCAGAATGCATACATAAAAAGTTAAACTAGAAAATATAGGGAAAATCACACTTTTAGTCCCTCATTTATCACGCATATTCAATAGTCCCTGTCTTTCAGATATTGCAAATATTGACCCTTACCGTGAAATAAATTGTAAATTTAGTCCTTGTTGTCTCTGTCATTAAAAATTGAGCAAGCACAATTAAATTTGTGAAAATGTTGTTCTTAATTTTGCAATATGTTAGAAATGTTGTCCCTCAATTCTGCAACATGTTGTAGACGTAGCCCTGAACTCCTGCTCTTAAAAATGTAGGAACAGAGTTTGCAAAATTAAAGATATGGACAACCACTATGTGGAATAAATGAGGGACCAAACGTGCAATTTCCCCGAAACATATTAGATAACGTCTTTCTTTAAAGACAACTTCTAAAGCACCACTATGCATGAAATAATTCCCTGCGTTAAAACTTATCATTTCACAGTGAATAATAATGATAAGCTTAGGAAATAAAGCACCACTAGATTCTTACCATCTCGTTCAGTTGTTGAAGCAGCATAGTGGCGGAAAATATTTGATTCAAGAGCCTGGAATCATTCATTACTTACATAGTATAATAGCTATAATTGCACATTATTGATTGTTTAGTCCCATCTTGTTTAAACTATAAGTGAAACTCACAGTTTTTGTTGGTGATTTGCGAACAATGTACTCAAAATACCAATACGGTTCACCATCAATCTGATATAAAACAGATTCACATAAGCAATAGGAAAAATTGATAGTAATAATCCCAACTATTGGCGGTCCGCTTATAATAATCCCAACTATCGATTATTTCATAATAATCCCAACTTTAGGGACCTTCCGCCAATAACGGTCCCTATAAATAAATTCTTGTAGTTTCTAAAGTGGATGAGAAGAGATATAGCAGGTAATCCCTATAAATAATCTCAACTTTTAATTTTTACGCTTAATTTCTATTAAAATTCACTTATTATATGAGGTAATATCTGATCATGGACCATTATTGGCGGATGGTCTATATAGTTGGGATTATACAAAAATAATCAATAGTTGGGATTATTGTCGGCGGACCGGCGATAGTTGGGATTCTTATTTTCAAATTTTCCTAAGCAATATTAATCAAAGTATTAACTTAAACCGATAGTAATACATCATCAGGCACAACTTAAACGAGAAGAAAAACGAAAAGAGAAATGAAACTTACTTGAGAAGAATGTGCATCAAGGACTGAGCTTTCCGCTAACCGTTGACTTGAGGTTACCCTCTGATAAAAATTATTAGAATTAATTTCAAAATATACTCTGAAAGGTTAAGCAAACTATGGTGAGTATCTTTGTTCAGGGAAGGATAAGGTTACACAACATGTTATTTGAAAAATACAAAATGTTCTGTGCATTAAGTTATTAACTCACAAACTTATGTTGTTATTTTTCTATTCACAAATTTGAAAGACATGAACTACACATACTGCTTTATCAAGAAAGGGCTACTAGTTCTAACGGGTCCCACATATTACTGAACCTTTTAGTGTTTGTTTTATGTAAATTTAGCACAAAAACAAGGCTCTTCTGGCCTTTGAACTTGTGCAGTCTAGGTTCAAGAAAGAAGAAAAACATAACATAAAATTTTCTGATTTATCAACAAAAAAATATGTAGATTATGTGCACCACATAAAATAACTTGAGCTTGACACACGCGCGCGCGCATAACAATATATGTGTGTATTTGTGTGTGCACGCACAGACACACACACACTTATATATATTACACATACAAACACACACAGACACAGAGACACATATGGCCGTCAATCTATCTAGAAAAGATTCATCTTACCAAAGCAGACTTATCAGATAAAACAGATTCAGCAACGTCTTTCGCACTCCAGGAACTTTTGTCCTTTGACTTTAGGAGCTTTGAATTCAATGGACCAATCTGAACCAGAAAATATTCACTTTGAGTTATCTGAACAATTTATGACATGGTAAAATACATTCTTTTAATTTGAATTACCGTAACAGAAATAATGAGATTGTCAATGAGATCAACTCTTTCAGACACAATGCGAAGCCGTGCATCAGCTGCATCATATACTAACTACTCTAAGGATGTGTTGCAACATGATGAGCTTAAATCAATTCACCCAAAGTACAGTGTATAATAATCCTTCATTTGATTTTTTTAGATCTAGCCAGTAGCCACTGTGCATGAAGAATAACAAGGGGAAACTAACGTGACAGAGGCGGGGCTGATGAATACCGCTCTGGTTTTCTGGATTCAACCCTTCAAAGAGAGAAGAGAAGAGTGAGGATCGTAGAACTTAATGATTTAGGATACAGGAAAATAAATCATTTGCATCATACAAAGGACATAATAAGGTAATTGTTTATTTATTAGTAGGTGAAATGAAAATAAATTAAAATAATCCTAATAGTCATATCACAGATGGAACTGATGAAGTTTACGGCTTAGGAAGAGCAGAGATGAAAGATAGAAGCTTTATCTTTTTCTTAATAACACAGTTATTGTTTAATACTACCTGTTAGCTAAGAGCCTAACTAATAGGTATCAAGAACCTTCCCATGATACAGGATGACAGAAAGTGATATTCTATGAAGCACGGAAACTCTCGAGAAAGAGAAAGTTTCCGTTTCGGAAACTGTACAGGAATTCTTTGGAACCTCTCTAAATACTTTTTTTCTATTAAAAGAGGGTGTTTCCCTTATCACATCTCCACATGATTCCCATGTTTCCGTGCAACATAGGTGACATTCAATAGGTTAAATTAGCTCCCACTAGGTTATTGCCAATGCATAGCTTCAAAAGGAAGCGAATTAACTTTTAAATCACTTTTTCATCTCCAATCAATTTACATTACATCTTACACTAAAAAAGGATTGTGATTGGCGTGATGGACCAATGTCAGCCATCTCTACTCGATATCTGTTTGGACAGAGGTTCAACCACCAAAAAAGTCCCGTCATGCAAATAAGGGCAATGATGTGTACGTCGGGACCTTCCCCAGATCCTACTTATGTTAGGAGTCTTGTGCACTAGGTACGATCTTTTATTTTTACTTTCGCTTTTATTGTTCAAGAGAGTTACTGTAAAGGAGGCTCTGTCAAGGAAAAGCCTGTCTCTCTAGTTACAGATTTACTTCCTTCATGAAGGCTCATTCCAACTTCATAACCTCATCTTGAAGCAAGTCTGCAACATGCATGGGAGATAACTTTGCTTCATTTATTTACTCCAAAATGAAGTAGAAGTGACATTTGAAGCATGCACTCAACTCTTTAGTAAAATGCAAGATGACAAGAACATATTAGAATAACAAAATATTTAGAATCAGTAATATCAGATTTCACTTTAAACAGTTGTGTGCAAAACATTAAAAACAATTTGGAAAAGGTGCACTTTCTTATGACCTCCAAAAAAGCTACTCCGCCAGTAGTCTGCCCGATAAAATTTGGCAAAAGTAGATTTGCACGTGTACTAATAAAATATAAATTGTGGGGTTGTTTTTTTGCAGAGAGAAATAATATTAACCACAAAGTTTTTACTCTAAGGAAATGACAATGTTCTTTTGGGACAACTAAATAAGAAAAGGCGGCCAAGTCTTGTGGGACGAAGGGAATAATAAATAAATCAGATAACACATCAAATGGCCATGCATTGTAATGCTATCCTTCCTAAGGTTGAGAGGATTAGGAAACACATAAAATTCAGCCTAATACGAGAGTGCTTACCATTTGAAGACAAAACTTTTGGAAGGAAGCTCTGTAGGGTACATATAGGAATATGAATTAATCTCATCAACCAATGAAGCCATTCTCACATCTTCTTCAGCTCTTGAACCTACGAGTATTTATGGCTTTGTATCTAAGTGAAACATTAAACACTCTAATTGTTCCACTTTACTTTTAGGGAAGTATTATGCTTGCTCCAAACTCTCATTCTAGAAAATAAAATGTTGACAAATAACATAAATGCACTTGCTCTTTCATACTCTCTCTCTTACGTTTTCATGTTTATACATCTTAAAATACCCCTACAACGTTATTGTTTAAACCCGTTTAAAAGCATATTATGGGGGTGTTTGAAACTGATTCTGATTCTGCTTCTTTTTTAAAGTAGAAGCAGAATCATAATCAGTTTTCAGAAGCTGGTCACCCTCAGCTTCTAAAAAACTGATTCTAGGAGTAAATTAGAGCACCAGAATCACTTCTGCACTTTCACCCAAACACTCCAACTTCTGCTTCTGCTCCCTGAAGGAGCAGAAGCAGTTTTAAGAATCAGATCCAAACACCCCCTATAACAATTACACGGAAAACAAAGTATATTAATGATAGCTAAATATTCTACATTTACTTATTTACCCGTGCGCATTTTGAGTATAACACTGCAGTGCCAACTTCCTATGACCGTTTTGTGACAGAAAAAATATTTTATACGGAGTATTAAATTATAGATTTTGACATGTTCTCATATGTTTAGCTAGAGTTGCAAAATTCAGGGGAAATGGGATATAAGAGCGTAGGGAAGCATATCTCAATCCAACTCCAAAGTGGTAAAACACAAAGGAATAACCAATGAGACCATTACCCAATCTCTCTAAGCTATTATGTATTGTAGTTCAAAAGAGAAGTTCAATTGCATGCACTAATACTCGTGCATTCATAGTCCTAATCAAAATTCAACTTTTTTAAATCAAAGCTCAATCTCATACTTTCCTACTTTAGTATACAACCAATGAACCAATTTAAATAGATAAATAGACCATTCTTCAACATTTGAAACAAAAAGTTTAATGTGTACCCAAACAGGAATAAATTTAAGCTCAGGAAGTGAACGAGTAAGTGAGAAGATGAAAAGGGAAGTATGAGGAATTATTATTGAACTTGCTGACTTACTCAAACAAGGAAATGTTAGAGAAAGTGAAGATAGGCCAATGATTGCTAAATCCCTTCTTGAAACCCCATCCCACAGAGTGTGATCTCTTTCATTGATCGAACATGCAATGATTTTCCCACATTTTCTTTTCTTTGGCGCGGAACACGAGCTCTGATTCCTGGCAGAAACACCATAAAATTAAGGCAATATTCGTTTGGAAGGTGCGTATTTGCATATACATATGAGCTATACATGCCCACACACACAGAGAGATGAAGTACTTTATACTGGGAAAAGAACGATGGAAATATGTAGAAAATGGGTGAGAGGAGACAAGATGCTGTGTGGCAGCCATTTTCTCTTCCCCTTTCTCTGGTTTATCCTAACTTGTTAGAGACGGGCATCCGGGATGATTCTTGAAAGAATGGCCGAAACATGACCTGCAGCTTTTGAAAAGTCAAAACTATAACCAAAATCGGTTTGGACAAAAAAGTGAATAAAGTATGTATAAATTGACTTAAATGCCCCCAAGAACCCTAATCCATTTTAATCGATCAATTCAGCGCTCCCGCATCTCATCGTTTCTGCATCTCGCACCTTTCTCTCAGATGCATCCATAGACGAAGCCGCCGCCCATCCTGTCACCTCGCTCCGCCCCATCCATGGATGAAGCCGCCGCCTCTGAGTTCTGCGTGTTGTGGTTGCAACGCCGCCGCCATAACTTATATCTTCTTCTCCTTTCTTCTCAATCGACCAGATCGCTATCAGATCTCAAGGATGGTAGCCGATAGAGTTGGCCATGGTTGAGCCGTGGTGAGGCGGTGGTTGGCCATGGTTGAGCGGTAGTGAGGCAGTGTTTGACCGGTGGAAGGGGTGTGATTAAGAATTGATAGTGCCACAGGGGTAAGGCTGGGGGGTTGGGCAGTGATTGAGGTTGTGCGGGGACCATGGTGTGGGAGGGGAGACGGTGGTCACCGGCCGGTCTACGGTGGTCAATGGCCGTACAGCGGTCACCGGCCGGTCGACGGGGTCAATTGCCTTGCGGCAAAAATCACCGGCAAGATGGCAGTGGTGATGATCACAACGTTTTGGCTGTCTGTATGACCGGCCTGGTCACTGGCCGGACAATGGTGGTGACTGGTTGGACGCCGATGGTTATCGGTCAGGCCGGAGATGGTCTGAACAGGTGGTCACGGACTCACGGTCACTATTGTCTGCTCACTCTCGCTATGCTCATGTTGGCAGAGGTCACTACAGGGCCAGGTGGACTTCACTGTATGGAAGTCACTATGGAGAAAGTCACTATGACCAGAGTTGGCTGGAGTTAGTGTGGCGGAGTCACTGTGGCGGATAATTGTAACTAGACGGACGAACATTGGTCACTTGACGGACAGACAGTAGAAACTACACGAATGAACATTAGTAAATGGTCGGGCGGGGTTGGTCACTTGATGAAATTTTTGGTCATTAATAATTTTGGTCACTAACAAATTTCGAATTTCTGGTCACTAATGTTTTTTTGTCACTGAAGGATTTTGGTCACTGGATGAATTTTGTAACTATGTCATTGGTAACTGTAACATTGGTCACTGCACATTTGGTCACTGTGACGGGTTACTGTAGCAGGCTAATGGGTTTGAGCATAGTAAGGGTGTAACAGTCACTTAAGTATTATTTAGTCTTATTTTTGGAACTTAAAAGAAAAGTCTCTTTTTTTGTCCAAATGCTTTTAATTAGTATTATTTGAGGACAAACCCCATGATTCTTCAGCAGAATAAAACTGGGAAGGTGGGATTTTTTGAGTTTTTTTCAGTATTAATGCTAATTAATTAAGTATTTACGAAAAAATACTTAATTAGTTAGGGTCGGGTTAAAAGTATTTACAGATATACTGCTGGGCTTAACCCTGGTCGGGGAAAGTCGCCAAACCGTTTGGCGACTTATAAGTCGCCCAACCGGATGGCGACTTATAAGTCGCCCAACGGTTTGGCGACTTACCCATAAATTAAAAAACCAGGTTAAGCAAAAAAAAAAGGAGGGGCAAAATTGTCTTTTGAAACCCGTTAAATTTTACAACTATCGTGTCCACAAGTCGCCCGCGCAGGGGGGTGCGAATTTTCGATTCTGAACTGAAAGTTGGAATTCTTGTGTGCGCGAGAGCTCCCCTATTCCCCTTCACCTTTTAATTCTAAGAGAGGAGTGGTTCATATTTATAGGCTTCAAACTTCTCAAGGAGTTTAGGTGTGAGAAAGTTAAAGAAGCTCACTTTCCACTTTTGCTTAAAAGTGTACACTTTTCCATCTCTCTTTTTCAAGAGCAAATTTGAGTCACTTCAAACTTCAAAGTCCAAAACTCCAACACCAAAGGTCAACACTACAATCAAAGCTTCCAAGAGTCAACATTGAGATTTGAAAAAAAAATCAAGGTTAAGACTATTTTTCTCAAACTCCAAGAATTTGCAGTTTGATATAAGACGCTATATCAAAAATCAAAAGAATTTGAAAAACAAAGGTTGTTCACTAGTTCAATGACGAGGGAGGGAGATTAACAAAGAATAGCAGCCTCGGAAGGTAATGTAATCACAATTAGAACGTAGTAATATCATTTACAAGCATAAGATCAAGAATTGAGCATAATAGTAAGAGGAGAGGAAACTCTTTGATAACATACATCTGCCAGAAAGTATCTTCACAGGTATAACATTGCCACTTTGGTCTAGGCCCCATTTTGAGATGTTAATCAAGCAGTGTTGAAAACAAAAACTAATTACTTAAGTTGAAATGTGTGAAATAACAATAAATCAAGATGAGTTCAATACAAAAGGAGTAGGATCTAAGGTTCTTTTTATATATTGAATTATTGAGAACCAGATGTATGTGCATGCCTACTCTTGTCAAATAATTCCATAATTCCATAAATGGCACTATATAGGGAAACAAGAAACCGGATGAAGATCTACACAATTTTTGTTAATGATTGAAAACAGTGAATGAAAGGAAGTAGATGATAGGAAACAATACTATCTTGGACCTTAAACTGCAAATTCTTGGAGTTTGAGAAAAATAGTCTTAACCTTGATTTTTTTTTTAATCTCAATGTTGACTCTTGGAAGCTTTGATTGTAGTGTTGACTTTTGGTGTTGGAGTTTTGAACTTTGAAGTTTGAAGTGGCTCAAATTTGCTATTGAAAAAGAAAGATGGAAAAGTGTACACTTTTAAGCAAAGGTGGAAAGTGAGCTTCTTTAACTTTCCCACACCTAAACTCCTTGAGAAGTTTGAAGCCTATAAATATGAACCACTCCTCTCTTAGAATTAAAAGGTGAAGGAGAATAGGGGAGCTCTCGCGCACACAAGAATTCCGGCTTTCAGTTCAGAATTGAAAATTCGCACCCCCCTGCGCGGGCGACCTGCGGACACGATAGTCGTAAAATTCAACGGGTTTCAAAAGACAATTTTGCCCCTCCTTTTTTTTTTGCTTAACTTGGTTTTTTAATTTATGGGTAAGTCGCCAAACCGTTTGGCGACTTATAAGTCGCCAAACGGTTTGGCGACTTTCCCCGACCAGGGTTAAGCCCAACAGTATATCCGTAAATACTTTTAACCCGACCCTATTTTCGTAAATACTTAATTAATTAGCATTAATACGGAAAAAAACTCGGATTTTTTGAAATATACTTTCTTGTTTAACTCGCAATTATCTTCAAAAACAATTTGAAATTTTATTTGAAATTTGGTATGGTTAAACTAGACTTAATAAATAAGATGCTCAAAAAATTTAATCGGGAACCATCCCAAGTGAAGTCGGCGGGAAAAAAACTCCTACATATGGGGTGATTTGTAGTTTTTTGTTTAGTTCGAGACTTCGAGAGCTTATTTGCCCCGTTTCCCTAATTTTTTAAAAGTGGTTTTGAAAAAGGGAAAATTGAAAATTTTCGCTAAAAAGTACTTTTATACATAAAATAGTGAGGAAAAAAATTAAACTAATACTTGTATTATTCTCGGAAAAATGATAAATAAATTGTCAATGAATACTCGCTTATTATTAGTGCATATGATTGTGTTTAAAGTTTATGTTATAGTGATTATGTGTGTAGTCACTAACTTAAATTTTAAGATTATTATAATCACTATTCACTCATTTTACCTATTAGTAATTAGTACTCCGTAATATTTATGGAAGAAACATCAGAAGTAAAAACAACTTTTTATTGAAAATGATTTATTTAAAAAAAACAAAAGCAGTTTAAAGCAATTATTCACATATTTTCATCTTTTAGAGTCTGTCTGGTAACCTTGTTTTTCAGTTTATCAAACTTATCAACTATTTTTCACCAAACATGTAACCTTTTTGCGCGCTGAAGTGTCTAATAATAAAAAATGTTAGATTGGAGTTGTTTTTATGACTGTATTGGCTGAAGTTACTGTAGAACTTAATTTTAGCTATTTATCATCTAATTTTTACTTTATTTTATTAATAAAATATATTTTAATATAATTTTTTTTTATAAATCGGCATAATCAACCAATTGAGTCACTTCAGCCGGAACTTTATAAATTTCAGCAGAATCAGCTGAATCATTCGATTTTACTATTACCGAAGGGGCTCTTAATTTTAAAGTGCTTAAATGTATCCAAAGTAATCGAGGCAAAAAGATAATACAAGTCATGAAAAGGGCTATTAATATTCAAAAATTCTTCTTGTACACAAAAAATTGTAAACATTTGACATACATTTGTGTGTAATTGTTTATGCACATTGATAATTTAGCATGAGCTGTCTAAGTACACAAGTAACTAGGGAGTGTACAAATCATCTGTGTCCACAGATAATTACGAGCAATGCGTGCGAAAAGTTTTATGGACAAATAGTTTTTTCATTAATCTTTTCTTTTGTTTGATATAAAATTCCTTCACTAAACGAGACTGAAATATTTTGTTCTGGTAGATTTGGTCCGATCTGATCTAGTCTAGCCGGGTTTGATCTGGTCTGAATTGATTGGTCTTGTAAATGTTTGATCTTTGTACTTCCTTCGTCCCTTCAAACATTGACAACTTTCCCTTTTTTATTATTCCACCAACTCTGTCACATTCATTTTTAAATAAAGAATTCGTGGTTCCAATTAATTCTTTATCTTCTACACAAATTTCAATCACACAACTTTTTTTTGATCCTGGTGCTAGTTAAACTTGTCAATGTTTTAAGAGTTTGAATCTCCTATCAATTTTGAAAAAGTTTTACGAGAACTATGAATGGAGTATTTTATAACGAGTAAAGGGTCAATTTGGTCCTTGAAGTTGCAAAAAAGGCGTCAAATAAGTCCTTATATAGAAGATTCTGTCCGGACGTGCCATTTGAGGTGGCTCCTGGTGGAATTGTGTGATAAATTTTTTTGAGCATCTTATTCATTAAGTCTAGTTTACTCATACCAAATTTCAGCTAAAAATTCAATCGGAAAGACATTCAAATGAATTCTTGAAGATAACAGCGCTTTTAACGGCACATTTATCTTTAAGAATTCATTTGAATGTCTTCCCGATTGAATTTTTATCTGAAATTTAGTATGAGTAAACTAGACTTAATGAATAAGATGCTCAAAAATTTTCATCAAAAAATTCTACCAGGAGCCACCTCAAATGGTACGTCCGGACAGAATCTTCTATATAAAGACTTATTTGACCCCTTTTTTGCAACTTTGAGGACCAAACTGACCCTTATCCCATTTTATAACCCTCCTCCCACATTGTGTGTTTTCGTCTGGTCTTATAACAATTGGTCACCGATCGGGAAAGCCAAAAACTCAGTTAGTCTCGATGCCAGTCCAGGAAATCAACGCGCGGGTCCAGCACCTCGCGATATGCAGCAACGGCGGAGGAGCTGACGCCGAGGCGGCGGTGTGGTCTCAGATCAAAGATGAGGCGAAGCGCGACGCCGAATCGGAGCCGGCGCTCGCCAGCTACCTCTATTCCACCATCATTTCTCATTCCTCCTTGTTTCGTTCCCTCTCCTTCCACCTCGGAAACAAGCTCTGCTCCTCCACCCTTCTCTCCACGCTCCTCTACGACCTCTTCCTCAACACCTTCTCTACCGATCCATCCCTCCGTGCTGCCACCGTCGCTGACTTATGCGCCGCCCGTTTCCGCGATGCTGCTTGCATTTCTTTCGCTCACTGCCTTTTAAATTACAAGGGCTTCCTAGCCATCCAGGTTAACATTTCCTCCTTTCTAGTATTGCTTTATATTTTCCCAGGCCTTTTCCTAGTTTCTCAATGTCGAGATACGTGAATTGCTTTCTAATTTTATGCTCCTACAGGGTTACGTATGAAACTATGAACCAATATACACTATAAACGCATCTCATAAATTTAAAGGTTAGTAGAAAAGAAAGTTTTTGTTAAAAAGATTTAGCCTTGGTGCTCTTTGCCTCTTTGGCTCTTATTTCAAGTTTGCGGTTACTGATTTAGTAAAAACCGGCCTGTTTTGCTTTACAGAGCTTGTGATGGCACTGTTTCTTAAGCTATGCTTTTCTCACTTAATAGTTAATACTCTAAAAAATTAACTTTTCCCATTGTTAAAATCAAAGGATCGAAGTAAAAGAGCCAGTGTTGTGGAGACTTCACAAGTGGAACTAGTTCTTAGCATACTTAGACAGTTAAGCTTGACAGGAAACTAGGTTGATGTTTCCATCGAAGTACAATATTCATTTAGTAATTTTTCCATTTCAAAACGTATTACCTATCAATAGCAGAAACAAAGCCAAGCTAAAATGAACTAAAAATCAATTTGCAGAAAGGAAGTAACGGTATCACTTGATTTTGAATATTTGATTAAAAAGTAATCATGATTTTAGCCATAAAGATTGTTATTTACAGTTATACACAGTATACACAATTTTCTCTAGCTGATGTCATTTCAATTATTTACTATACTGTTTTCATTTCTCTGCATATTATTTAGTCATTGACTCATTGTAACCATCTCATCAGCTTGACTCTTCTGTGTAATAGATGAATTAATTGGTTAGAACTCTCAAGTTAATTGAATGATTGTCTGGATAAGTATGATGGTATACACACAATAAATTTGGGTGGGTAAAGAGAAACTTGACTGTAATTACAAGATTAAAGGAAATTTAACTCTGCACTTTACTAGCATGTGCAAATCATTTTTAATCTCAATTTGCTTATACATGCATGACATATAGCCATATTTGCTCACTTGAGCATGTCCATAAGTTTGACCCTCAGGTCATATTATTGATGTGTGATTGTATCTATTTTCTATTTTCCCCAAATGTAGGCTCATAGATTGGCACATAAGCTATGGCTACAGAACAGAAAACCAATAGCATTGTCACTGCAATCTAGGATCGCGGATGTGTTCTCGGTGGATATACACCCTGCAGCTAAGATAGGGAAGGGGATATTTCTAGACCACGCAACCGGAGTGGTGATTGGAGAGACGGCAATAATAGGGAACAATGTGTCAATGCTGCACCAAGTCACATTAGGTGGGACCGGGAAGGCTGGTGGTGATAGACATCCAAAGATCGGAGATGGGGTCTTGATTGGGGCAGGGGCCACGATATTGGGAAATGTGAAGATTGGCGAGGGAGCGAAAATTGGTGCTGGGTCGGTGGTGCTGATTGATGTGCCACCATGGACCACTGCAGTTGGAAGTCCTGCTAGGCTAGTGGGTGGGAAAGAACAGCCAAGTGTTCATGAAGATGTTCCTGGGGAGTCCATGGATCACACTTCCTTTATTTGTCAGTGGTCAGACTATATTATATAGTCATTGTTGTCGCCAAGAAATCTGTAATAGCGTCTATATTATCAACCGGTGCAAACATCAATGAGAAAATAGAATACTGAAATGTAATTTTCTGTAGAGTTTTAATTTGTAAAGAATGCCACGACTTGTCTCAGTGTCTGAAATAGACCAAAATCATCATCTGCTGAAAACCCATATTTGTTTGAGTTAATTATGTATTAAGATTGCCAATGTTTTATATCATTATGCGTGTTTCTTGATATTTTGTGTTGAAAGCCTGCAGGGAATTTAATAATATAACAAAAGCATTTCATAAGCTGCCCTTTCTGGATTTGTGGAGAGTACAATAGAGATTTGAGAACATTTTTCCAAGGAAAACCTTCGGCCAAGTATTCTTATTGTAAGCATCTATCCTGTTAGCTTGTTAGGGTTTATTGAAATGGAATCAGTAATTGTCATGTCTAATGCAGTCTTTAATCAGTATTTATTTGTTGAGATCCCAAACCATCTCCCCCACAAGTACGCTACACCTATCCCATTTTACATTTTTATGAGGTGGTTTCAGTGTACAAATGTACAATTACGCATAAGGTACACAATAATTACTGTTGTTAATAACACATACTAGTAATTACTGTAGTTTTTAGTAATTCGAAGTTACAAACTTACATACTTAAAACCCAGACTACTAGCTTTAGTAAACCACATGAAACGGAATTTAAATGTGACAAAAATTTGATGCCATCTCTACTCTAAATTAATTTTCATTTTGGAGAAGGCACACAAATTACGGAATTTTGAAACAAAACTATTTTACCCCTAAAAAGTTTAACATTAAAAGCATCTAAGTTTTTTTACTTTTGAAAGGATTTCTATGTCCAAAATAAAATTTTGAAAGGATAGAAAAAGTGTATAAAAATAGAAATGAAAAGTGAACGTAATTAAGAGGAAAACAATAACTGGCGAAATTACTTAGAAAGTACGGAGTACAATATTACATAAAACATTAGCCATTCAACCTTTTTTGAAATCAACAAACTTCGTTTGTCATATAGTTTACAACATTCTTAGCATGTTACTCAATGGCAACACTAAAAGGGCACAGGAATGGCTTTAGAAATGGTATCATGCGACAGGATAGGAATTGCTTGCAACTCAAGTGTTTCAACGGGTAACAATTGGTTGTCTCCTTCTATGTAGATCATGTTGATAAGACGTAGCAAGATGAGCTCGAGCTCTTCCCCGTCTGTCCATTCATGGATCTCCGCTTTCACGAGCTTCCTGTTTTCATTTATCAATTTCCAGACTGGAAAATATTTCCTAGGCATCACAAAGTCTCCTTCTTTGAGCTTCAGGCTGGGGCAGAAATCACCAACCCCATCACCTAGATAAACAATTCTTTTTTCACCTTTATTGGCGAATGAGTCTTGAACTCCTTCAATGATCTTACCCTATTCATAATAAAATTGTGATTATAATACATCTAGTTGTGTTGTCACTGTAATGTAGTGATGTAAGATTCACATTAAATATATGACATTCAACATCACGTGTTTTAAACGTTAAAGTAATTGTTCCGTTGCGACTAAATAAGAACGAAGGAGTTTAAAATATAAAACATGCTTTAAAATGTTTGCAACACCAAGTATTAGTACCTTGCACATGTTAGGAGGGCAAAGATTATCACAACCATGAGAAGAAGTGTGGAAATCGTGGTAAGGGAGGATCCTCACCCTTCCTGCCTCGTCCACATAGCCCGGGTTTGTTTTTATATCAGAGAAGCACTCCCTTATCCCATGGTGTTTCAATATTGTCTCAATGAAGAAAAGGTTTGCATCACTGACTATTCTCAAATCACACCTAAAATGCAGTTAGCAATCTCATCATCTTCAATTCGTGTACCAGTTCAAAAAGCAAAACTGAGCAAATGATGAAAAATGGATTAAGATATATTTTTGGTTTACCCTATAGCAGAAAGGGATTGAATGGTGGGGACAATGCGAGGATGAATTGGAACCCGTTTGAGCACTTCCTCGACATCTTCAGCTGTCTTCCCATTCGCGTGCAACTCGCTCATCATTTTGTCCTGCAACAATCATATCATTAATGTGTCGGAGCAACTAGGTGTGTTCGTCAGTTGAGTTTAGTTAGTTTCCATTTTCATCAGCTCAGCTTTTGTCAGTCGGTTTTTCGAAAAAGGTGAAGTCGAGAATCGAACAACATTATTTAAGTCGATTTCAGTCGGTTTAGATTCACCTAATTTCGGTCGATTTGTTTCGGTTTTGGTCGCTTTTAGCACGTTTCAGTCGGTTAAGTTGGGTTTTAAACAAAAAAAACAAATCATAAACATAATTTTTTTGGGTACATCAGAAAAGAAAAGAACACTACAGTCCAAACGGTAAAATGTCAAAAACAAACCGACAAAGCTAGTGTGGTCTAACAAATTCTAGACAATTGCCATTCTCCCAAAGTATACGTTCAATTCCCTCGGAGGGGTATTCAGGATTGTCAACCCCTGTGGTGTCGAGTGAGCGATGTTGGCAAGGAAATCAGCGCATCTATTTCCTTCTCGTAGGGTATGATGCAGAGTGAGTCCATGACAATTCTCGAGTAGCATTCGGCAATCCTGGATCAATGTTGAAATGTTTTCTTCATCTTGTAACGTGAGTTTCAATCAGTTTCGATTGGTTTCGGTTTCATTTGGTTCGACTCTGACCGGTTTGGTTTCAACGGGTTTATCTTTCGGGTTTTCAATTTTTTGTTCAACTCTAGGAGCAACCTACCCGAAAGAAAAAAAGTTCTACTTATTTTTTATCGTAAAAAGTTTATATTAAAACAATGTGTATTTGGAAATATACAATCGCATAAATAACTATGGCACACCCACTAATATTTGAACCAGACACATCGTCAATGGCTCTGATGACACAACAAAAGCAAAATAATCTCATTGAGAGAAAGAAATCTATATAACCTGACAATTTTCTCCCCTTACCTTTTTGAGATGACCCAAAAAAAATTTCTCATTTCCCTTTTTTGAAAAGTATTGTGTGACTAACATTCATTTGCTTTTTTTCTTATTCAGCCACAATCATGTTTTTCCAATTTTCACTATATTCTCATTTTCTTTAACTCCTATCCAAACTAACATGAGAAGAATTTTCAGGGACGAGGGAGTATGTATAAATATGTATAAGTATTTATAATCCGTACAGATTAGAGAACATGTTACAATTCTAAATTTTGATATTCAATATAAATATTTCAGAAAATGTGTTTTTTTTAATTTGATCTTCAATATACATCTTTCCTCCAAGACTGCTATTAATACTTGGGAAGTAGCAAGAATCGTACGTATCCTAATTTGAGTGCTATTGATTATTGACCTGCTTTGATATCTCAATTATTAAAGGTAGCAAATTATGTGATTTGATAATCCAAACTCAACGTCTATATCCTAAATAAAGGTTTGTAGGGAACGTAATTCACATACGAAGTATTTGATTATTTCAATATTTGATTATTTCAAAATCACACGAGTGCGACGGGTCAAACACCCTAAAAAGAAACCAAACTCACACGAGTGCGACCACATTTGTAATAGGCTTATAAATTGGACTTAGCTAGGATCTTACACACCCAAATTGAAAAAAAAAATCACTAATGCAAAAAAAATCGTGTAAAGAGATAAGTAAAAAAATCATTCTATCACACAAACTGATATTTCTTCTGATTATAATAGTTTTTTTTTTGTGAAATTTTCTAATTAGATAAGGTTTTTTTTTTTGAAAGGAATTAGATTAGTGAAGTACACGTAATTTTTTAGAAAAAAAACTGTTGTGAATTCAAGTTCTATCTCAAAAGAAGATTGACTAGAGCGTGCACCTAAACGGGTAAATTCAGATTTGATCATAAACGGTTTCATCTTAATCCGGCCGTTTTAAAGGGTTGAAGATCCTCAAATTCCCTTAATACAGACTTAAATAGTTATAAAAATACAAAAAAATCAGACCAGACCAGTTCAGGCCAGATCAGAGCAGACCAGGAAATTACACTCCAAGTAAAAACATTCATAGTCTAAAACTTTATAGGAAATTGTTTAAAATAAGAATTGAATACAAAAAAAATCCAAAATAGGATTAACGGTGGTCAATGTTTTCTCCTTTAGATATACTAAGTAAAATTTATGTGATCCAATTAAAAGAATAAAATGAACAAAAAAATGAATAAATTTTGTTATGTTATTCTCTATTAACTTTCTAAAATTTTATCTGCCATCACATCTTTGAGATTACACAATGTAAACTGATATTCTTTTTATACATACTTATGCGTTTATAACTTAAACTATGTCTAATTTAATAATATGTTATTTTTAAAATAAAGAATATGTAACTAAGTTCTAGTTTAAGGTGACCTTTATTCAGTATGGAATGTTGGAGAAGATGAGGGGAAAGAAAGAGAGGCGGTGGAAGTGAAGAAAAAACCAAACTGACTGACCATGAGAGAGTTCCAAGGCATGGTGGGAAGAAGGTGATTGAAGAGAGGAGTGAAACCCAGGTGATCCACAACCCAGTTATCGCTGTCCACCTCGATTATGGTCTTGTCAAAATCAAACACAACCACCACTTTCCCCCCCATTCTATCCATCTACTCTGCCCAGGCCAGATTATGTATGTATGAATGTGGATGGATAGATGATGTATCAGACAATTTCAAGAATGGTGTATTATTGTTATTTAATTCATTGGTTTGGGCTGGTTGGGTTGGAGAGGAAGAAGCTTAGGATTGATGCAAGTATATAGGGAATTTTTCACAAATAGACAAAAAAGTGAAATTAATATCACTTTTGTCACTTTACAAAATACTTTTCAAAAATAGATCAACTGGACACCTCCTTTCAAAAATAAACTGTGTCCGTTGAACCAACTTTCCCGATTCCGGAATCTGCGCTTCAAAGAAGCGTATCACACAATTTTGTTTAATAAACTACTCCACTGGGCTACTTCTATCACACTTTGTTAATTAAATTGATATAAACCGCAAGAATAATTCAATTCTTGATTTTAAATAAAAAAAATGTATGTGTAGTAAAAGAGATGAATATAATAAGATAATAATGAAAGTATTAAAAATAGATAACAATAAAAAAAATACTCCCTCTGTCCCATTTTATAAGATATCTTTACTATTCACTTGGTCAATACAAATCATTTTTAATCTCTTACTTTATATATCAAAATTTTATGAAATTTGAATTATTTTTTGCAGGTTTTGTAGCGATTTTAATGTAGTTTCTGAATATGTAATTTTTTT